AAAAAATTTTGTTCTCCCCCCCCCCCCCGGTTTTTTTTTTCCCTTTCCAAGCTTCTCCTGTCAAGTCATACACATTGGTATTCAGGCATGATGCAAACAGCATGAGCTCTGAAGATCTCCTGCACACTTTCCTGAGCTGTATTTGATCTGTCGTTTCCCTCAGCAAGCCGACAGAATCAAGCACCGAGAGCACTCCTGCTCAGCATCTGCCTTCAGATGTCACGGGGAGAGTGACTGGATGGTCCCCAGCAGTGGCAGAAGCTGCTGTGTATCAGCAAGTGCTGCTGGGTCTCCAGAACCTGAATGGAAGTGACTGGAAGGGTGTGCGATGTGCTGTATAAAGCCAGAGCAGAGCAGAAGCTGTTTCCAGTCAAAGCAAAGGTTCATCTGCTCCAGGATTGTGTTTCTGACCAGCCTCAGGACAAATTAAAGACTAGAGAGAGTGTAACAGCAATTTCACAGCTTTCTGCAAATTAGGAATTTGGGCATGAAGTGACAGTTCTGTATTATTGGCCCCCTTTTCTTTCTAACACAGGGTACCTATTCACTTTTTGAACTGATGCAATATTTTGGCATCCAAAATCTCCTTCTGGAGTGACATGATTTGTTTTGCAGTGTGTTTGTTAAGCACAGCATCGTCTCTGGCTCATTTTAACCTGTTTCCTCTGAATTCCGTTCGATGCCCTCTGGGTCTTGTATTGGAAGAGGCGGTGAAAAACTGATTGTTGCTGTCTGTGTCGTTTGTGTTGGACTTCCGTCATATCTCCCATCAGTTCTGTCTTTTCCAGGCTGAAGAGTCCTGGTCTGTTGTTTCTTGTATGGAAGTGGTTCCAGACCTTGTTACCCATTTCTGAACCTTTGCCAGTTCTTCTCTCCATTTCAAAAAAGGATGTAGGGGGCTCAGAACCGCACAGAGCATTCAAGATGTAGGCACATTGTGAGTTCATGCAGTATCGTAATGGTATTGTTTGTTTTGTTCTGACTCCTTTTCCTAATAATTTCTAAGTTTCAGCTTGCTTCTGACCACTATTGAGTAGAACCGTGTGCTTTAACCCCAAAGGCCCATTTTGGGTGGTAGTACAGAGCCTAGAACCCAACATTTGTAAATGAAGCAAGAGAAGCATCAACATGACAGAGGTCAAAAGCAAAGAGGCGATCGCTGCACTTATGCTAGAAGTAGCTCATTCTGCCGGTTCTGTTCTTAAATTCTGCCAGAAAGATTGGCTGGGGCCAGAATTAATTCTTTCATTGGCTGTTTTTTTCCAAACTGTCTGCTTTCCCCACATTTGACAGTTTCCCTTTTCAGCCTGTTCAAATGTTTAGGACGTGATTGCTTCTCATGTCTTTGTGTTAGTCTCTACACGCTTGCTCTAGAACAGCTATTAATAAGTTCTTTTTCTCTGACTTACCTGTCTGTCTTGTCTTTGCCAGGCAAAACGGTGACATCAAATTTCTGACAAAGGGAGACAATAACGCTGTTGATGACAGAGGGCTGTACAAACGAGGGCAGCACTGGTTGGAGAAAAAGGACGTTGTAGGACGAGCAAGAGGGTAAGTGAAGTTGAAAACGCTGCAGCTTTTTATGCTGCCCTCCCCCAATGCCCTCTGTTAATCCCCCTTCTCCCCCTGAACTCTCCCTGCTGGGTTGTTGTGACCTGCCTGAAAGCATTTCAGAAGGTACCAACGGGGAGTTAAAACTGAAGGTAGCTCAGTTCTTAGCTCGGCTTAAGCAAAGGGATCGAGCTGTGAGCTGTGTCCTGAGATTTTGCTGCTGGATGGACCCTGATGCAGAGGCAGCGCACGCTCCGGCGTGATCAGAATTTTCATGGAGATTATTCTGCAAAGCCCAGTCTCTGCAGACAAGCACCATCTGAAGAAGGCAGAGGCTGAAACACGCTCTGGCGCTGGTTGTCCTTCAGCTCCCCCTGTCATGGCTTCCCTGCTTGGGAAGGAGAAGTCCCAAGCCTACTGTCCATTGCCCTCACCACGCTTGGGTGGCTTCTCCATTGTACAAGTACCAGGGCAGCGCTTTCCCCATGTGCACCCTTGAATACTCTTTGTTTTAATTAAACCTTTGTTCTTCTAGATTTGTGCCCTATATTGGAATAGTGACTATCTTAATGAATGATTATCCAAAATTTAAGGTAAGAGCTCTTTCATTTTCTGCCTCCTTCTCCCACCCCAGCTAAAATTACTTCATGAGAACTTTATATGCGCAGGCAGAACCGTTTGTCCTGTGCATTTGCTGCTGGTACTGCATCTTTAGATGTGACTGTGCACCCTTGTTCTTCTTTCTCTTACAGTACGCAGTCCTCTTTTTACTGGGGTTATTTGTGCTGGTCCATCGAGAGTAGCCTCTTGCACTGAAGTACGAGGTGAAGGTGCCATGGATTTTTTAGATGAACGTTTTAAGTAGTTGATGGTCCCACGTGCCGGGAGGAAGAAGAAAACATGCATTTCAAAGCTTCTTGCCAGTTTGGGTTGGTTTTGTTTTTTACTGCGTAAGGGCGAATGTCTGTCACAGTATTTCCAATGGTTTGTCACATTTTAGAATTTTTAGTGAGTTTTTATATTAAAAATTTAAGCCAAACTGTTCAGTGTTTCTACTTTGAAGCTGAGCTTCCTCTCGAAGTGCCTACAGGACTGTGTCCTCTAAATCTGTGCCTCTGCTGGGCAAGCGTGACTTTTCCCTGTGCCGACTGAACCGTCCAGCAGCGAGCTGCAGAGGTGATGTTTTTTCCAATTCAGAACTGGAATAAAGATTTTGCATCTCGCCCGCTTTGAGCCCTTTGACGTTCTTTGTCATTGCCTGGCTGAGTGCAGTTGCCCAGTTTCCCTGGGGGCCCTGGGCTCTGCGGTTGCAGACTGACTCCCAGAGCTGCGTGAGGCAACTCCTCATTGCTTTTTGGAGAGGAGGCAGTCCTGAGCTGTAGATGATCCGCTCAACATTTCAATGTTTCTGTGAATCACGCTGAAATAATCTTCTTACACTTCGTAATTCTGCAAGGTGTTTTGGGCAGGAGATGGCAAAGGATTACTTGGTGCATAAGCTGTCACTGCAGCCCTGGTAACAGAAGAATTGGGATGGGAAATACCCATAGCTGTTTGGCAGGGATGATTAATGGGATGCAATAGTAAAATTTTCTTAGTTTTGGAAATGGGTTTTAGGTCTGCAGTGATCCCTGCAGCTGGCCACATCTTAGAGCTACCTGAAAGCCCTGGAAAGGCTGAGCCCCCACTGCCCTGGGGTCTGAAAGAAGACACTGCTTTTTTTCTAGGCTTCTCATTCAGGATAGTGATCCTGCTTGTGTAGGTCTGGTGTCAGAGGAGACCCGAGGAAGCAGTACAGGGCAGGGGCTCTGCAGTTACTGGCTTCCATATATATTTGTGCCACCTGGTGCTGAGTGAGTGGCGATTATAGCTCGCCTCCATGGTGTCTGTACTGACTCATGGAACAGTTTTACTTGCCCTTTGCTAGGGCAGACCCTCATGAGAGCAGGCAGCGGGAGCAGAATGTCATTGCTACCTCTGGCCAAGACTGCCTGAGCCCTCCTCTGCAGCTCACCCACTGGCTGTCTCGCTGGGACAGCTTCCCCTGGCACTGGGAGCCTGTCTCCTCCCCATCTGTGCTTTCCCTGGGTTAACGCCTGTCCTCAACAGCCGTGTGCCTGTGGCTCTTGGAGTAATCCTAACTTTGTAATAAAACATGGTAAGAAAACCCCTATCTCCCCCTCCCAGTGCTGGAGCCCTCGAGGAGAGAACTTGGCTACAGAGTTTCTCCAAAATGCTTGAGGCACAGATGGGATGTTTTGTCAAAAGCAAAACCTGGGCAGCAGCAGGGGAAAACAAAATCTCTTCGAGAGCTGCCACTGCTGTGGAGCACCTTCCCGGGAGCTTGGGGCAGCGTTTCTGCCCTTGCAGGTAGCACTGGGGCTGAGTCCCCATTTCCTCCTTTGCCTTTAGCTTAAATTGAGTTTGTGCATAAATTGGTTTTTAGCTTGGGCTCACATAAAAGTTAAAAGTTTTAACTTGGGCTCACATAAAGCACACATAAAGTTGAGCTTTTCTGACATCTGCTAATCAACACCTCTCAGTGCAAATTCACTGGGAGTGCTGCTGGTGGTGTTCTCCCGCTCTTCTCGCTTTCACGCCTTTTGCGAAAATCTGAGCATGCAGAAGCAGTTGTGTTACTGTTGCTGAGTTAATTTAACAAAAAGGCGAAAACACAAAGAATTCATGATTGTAGGGCGTGCAAGGATTAGCTCTTAGAGAGCGTCTGCTGAAAACACAGTTCTGAAGGAAAAGAAATGGTCCTTTTGAGATGTTGGGAAATAACAACATGGGGGTCCTGCTTGGCAGAGTGTCCCTGCTGGTGCTGCTGGTGGCCAGGAGTGGGTGTCAGCAGCTGGTGGGAACGCAGGCTCCTTGCCAAAGTGGGTGCAAACCCACGCTTGGGCACTCGCAGGAAGATCGTGCCTTTCCCAGCCTTGCTCTCGCATGATGGCACAGGAAGCAATTGAGCAGGAAGCTCTTGGAAAACGCGGGGCGGTGGGGTAAAGGGTCAGTGAAGCCTGGAGCAGCCCGGCCACAGCAGGCAGCTCGCTCCTGGCTTTGCAGATGCTTTAAGAACAGAAACAATAGTCCGAAATCAGGATCTGTGGTGTGACATTTGGGAATTCATCTCTGTGGCCCATCTTCTGCCTATTTTCAGCTCAGTGTAGCTGAGAATGCGGCTTTGTGTTACCTGCAGCCGTGAAATGAGGTGTTGGCTCTAATTAGAGTGAGGATAAATAAGCAGTTAATCCACTCACAGCTCGAACGCCCACCAGCCCCCTACACTGCCTCCCACGTCCCCTCCTGCCTCGCCTTTCCTGCCGCAGTGGGAAGAGGGTGCCAGGGACCAGCCCTACAAGCTGGGAGCTGGGGACGTGGGGGCAGGATGACAAAGAGCTGTTTTGCCGGCTCTGTCCCCACCAGACTTATTCTGCTTTGCTGAGCAGAAAGGCTGCGGAGCTGCAGGATCTCCAGTTCAGCCGGGTGCTGATGCTGAAGTGTTTGGCGAGCGCTGCTGTGCTCCCGCAGAGCCAGGGGTTTTGCTGTTCAAACTTGATGTGTTTTGGTTCTTTTTTTTTCTTTCAGTTTTCTTCTGTTTTTTTTTTTAAAGGTGGAGTTGTCTGGCTGGCTCCAGCAAAGCCTTTGAGACTTCAGGCTTACAAAAGATGGAGATCTTTGTGTCACAACAGGAATGGGATTTGTCTGTAAAGTATGTGGGTGTTGAAGGGTCTGGTTTATAAAGGAAAAAAAAATAAAATCTGCCAGGGCTAAGATTGCTTCTGTCTCTGTTGTGGTTACAGCCAAACAGAACAGGTTTTCTGGTAGACAATTTCATTGTTTAATTACTGTTCAGTCACATCCGCAGCTCAGGGCACAGGTTCCTTCAGGGGCAGGAGCAGAGCGATGCTGGGCTGGTTCTGATCGCTGCTAGAATTTTGTTGGGTGACTCTTACTTTTGTATCAAAGCGAAATGCGGAAGCAGAAGCATGATGGATGGGAGGTGAGCTGTGAGGAGTGATGTGCTGAACATTGAAGCTCCTTGAGACAAAGGCTGTCTTTGTATGTTTATGATGCTTGAACACCCGGCTCTTGGTTTAACAGCCATAAGCGTGACACTGCTTCATCCAGGTCTGTCGCTGCTTGTTGCCCAAGGGGGGTTTGTAAGGTGATCAGCTGCAGGCTTCCTTTAACACATTGGGTAATCTTGTGGTGGATTTCCTGCCCATAAAATCAGAACAGGTCAACCTTATTTTTTCTGAGGAGAATCTGCAAAGTGAGGTCTTGTCCACGCGTGGTTATAAGACCGGTTCCTGCTGGGGAGATGCAGGAGTGCAAACCCAGCGTGCAGCTCCCAGGCTGGGCTGAGCTCGTTGGCCGAGAGATGGAGAGGAGGCTTAGGCAGAGCGTGTCACTCCTGGGCTGCAGCAGGGGGAACACACAGCAGATGTTTGCCCGTCCCAGGGTGAAGGCCCACACGGCGTCAGTGACTCAGGGGCTGAATCAGCTGAGGAGTGTCCTGGTTCCAGCCTGGGTGAGGCCAGAAAGGCCTGGTCTTTGCAGTTCCCATCAGTGTCAGCAGCTCCTGGTGGCAGCTGATGCATGGCAGATGACTGATCTGACTGCTGGGAAAGGAGAAATAGCACTGACATTGTGTTTTGAGCCAGTTTAACAGCTTCCTGCCCCTTGTACCCTCTCCCCTCCCTTGCAATACTCCTGTCTCTTCATCAGCTGCACCCGGGCGCTTGGGCTCACTCACCCCTCAGGAAGCAGCAGGTCTCGGCGGAGGTGGCTCCACCAGCCTGGCCCATGCTGGAGTTAGCAGGTGGGAAGGGGCATGGTGCCTTTCCTGGTGGATCTGCCTTGTTGGATCTACTGAGCCATAACCAGGTGGGCTCCCTGCAGTCAGCTCAGCCATGAGGAGCCCCTCTTCATGGTAGTGGCTTTGCTGCTGCTGGGTTCTTATACCTGCTTAGCCCTCAATTTCTGTGAAGAACCACCAGCTCCTTCACACGTGGTCCTGCTTCCCTGTGGAGTGGGGCCTGCCCACGTGCTGGGTCCTGCTGGCTGAGCGCATTGTGTGTTAGACTGGTTCCCACTCATGGGACAATTTGTACCCGTGTTTGGTTCCAGCAGGTGCTTTCAATGCCTGGTCTAGCAGAGCTCCCCAACCCCTGGGGAAAATCAAGTACCTCTACGGAGGAGAAGGACTTAACTAAGGACAGGCTAGAAATGCACCCTCTGTGGTCCAGGACGGAGCAGACACACTCACTCTCTCTTGTTCTCTCTGCCCAGCTCCTCGTATCTTGACTTTCTTGCTCTTTCTGTTTAATAATTTAAAAACATTTCTGGATCTGTCTCTGCATCTTGATACCACCTTTCCTTTCCAATCTGGCCTCCTCCTGTAGAAGCTAACCTTGCAGGGTTTCAGTTTCCAGAGAGACAGAAGTAACAGTAAAGTGGAGAAAATGGACTTCAGTTTAATTCCTTTGAACCTCACTTCCCTCAAACAGGGATGTTAGGTTTCTGCTGCGTAATTCTGGTTGGGACGCTTCTGAGCGAGGCTTGGATTTGCCAGCAAGAAAACAAGATTTTGTTCTCTAAGTCTTCTTGCAGAGCAGTTATTTGTACTGTATCCAGCGGGTGGGGAGTGAGTGGGAAACCTCAGGGAAAACCACAACTCATTTACGGCTTAAATGAAAATTGAAAAAGAGTTGAAAACAAGATGTGCAAGATTTCAAATTTTATCTTTTATAAACAACATTTGTTGCCTGTGGACGAATGAATGTAACAGAGGATTTAATCTTTGTAAACAAGAGACAAATGCATCAAAATAGACCCTCAGGCGTATGGCAGGACTTTAAATTTGACCTGGCTTTGGCGAAGCAGAGAAGAAGAGTCTGTAACAACTTAACTGCTGCTAAGAGTTTTATTGGCACCAGAAGATCTGTGAAGGAGACAAATAGGGAGATTCAAGGCCTTTTCTCTTTGTATTTGTTTTTTATTAGAGCCATCGGTTTTGAGCGTGCCTTTGCTGCCCAGGTGGATGTTTGCAGGGCCTGGGAGTGCCCACACTGTGTTTTCAGACCCCTGCAGCTGGGGTCTCCCCCGGGTCAGACTGGCTGCCTCTCTGGGCCATGCCCTGCTCAGTGCCAGGGTATCGAAGCATAATTTGACGGAGAAGCAGCAAAATGGACCCTGCTTTGAATGCTATGAGCCGTGGTA